AGAGTCCAGAGTTTTTATTAATATTCTGGTAACACTTTACAATAAGGTTTAACATGAACTAATGAAAAACACTTCTACAGCATTTATTAATCATAGTTAATGTAAATCTCAACATTTACTAATACATTATTAAAATCAAAAGTTGTCTGTGTTTTTATTAACTAATATGAACAAAGATTAATAAATACTGTAACAAATGTATTGCTCATTGTTAGTTGATGCATAACTAATATTAACTAATGGGGCGAGTAATTACTATTTAGTTTTAATGTACTTTTATTTCAGTTATTATTTGTTTCTAGTAAGTAATTTTGCTTCAATGCGTGTTTATATCTTGCAATTCTGAGAAAAGGTGTCTGTGTGTTCAGATCAATAAGCTGCACCTGTGTAAGCCTCTGATCCGAGCCATCGAGAGCTCCAGCATGAAGGACGAGTACAGCACCGCCCAGCGCGTCACTTACAGATACTACGTGGGCAGGAAGGCCATGTTCGACAGCGACTTCAAACCAGGTGTGTGTGTGTGTGAGTGTGGTGTGAGTGTGAGTGTGTGAGTGTGAAGCCTTGTTTATACTCGACGCGTCCGCAAGAGCGCGAGTCTCCGCTGACTGCGCGCGGACCTCTCCAAACGGACGAGGCGTTTATACTTGACGCGCTCGCCGTTGTGCTATTCTGTGAAACGACAGGGGGCGACTCGGAGTAATTCTCTTCTAAACCACCAGGAATCAGCAGTGAAGAAGTAGTTTGCCGTTTATTAGTAGTTTATTAATTGCTGATTCATATAAAAATAGTATTAAATGCAGTAGGTTTATTGTACTTTCACTGCATGTAAACTAAACAACTGAAGCCTTATTGAAGAGTGTTTAAACCTTAATTTCATCAGCAGGGCTTACTTCTGCTATTGTAGGCTTATTTTCTAAATGTAAGCAGTTACTTTAGACAAGTGCAAACTGGGTGCTTAATGCAAATGTGTTCCTATTCACAAAATGAGAGGCTTTTATGGTCGCCCATCAATGCAAATGTCTCTGTATATAGAAGGACCATAAACATGCTGATACAGACGTACCAGGCGAAATGGGGTCTTGCGCACCCAACGCGCACGACCGCCCACACCGCAATGACGTCATTTTTGCCGCGCGCACCTTCGCGCTCTTGCGGACGCGTCGAGTATAAACAAGGCTTGAGTGTGAGAGTGAGTGTGAGAGTGAGTGTGAGAGTGAGTGTGAGAGTGAGTGTGAGAGTGAGTGTGAGAGTGAGTGTGAGAGTGAGTGTGAGAGTGAGTGTGAGAGTGAGTGTGAGAGTGAGTGTGAGAGTGAGAGTGAGAGTGAGTGAGAGTGAGTGAGAGTGAGAGAGTGAGAGTGAGTGAGAGAGAGAGAGAGTGAGAGAGTGAGTGTGAGAGAGTGAGTGTGAGAGAGTGAGTGAGAGAGAGTGAGTGTGAGAGTGAGTGTGAGAGTGAGTGAGAGTGAGTGTGAGAGAGTGAGTGAGAGAGAGTGAGTGAGAGTGAGTGAGTGAGTGAGTGAGTGAGTGAGTGAGTGAGTGTGAGAGTGAGAGAGAGTGAGTGAGAGAGAGTGAGTGAGTGAGTGAGTGAGTGTGAGAGAGTGAGTGTGAGAGAGTGAGTGAGAGAGAGTGAGTGTGAGAGTGAGAGTGTGAGAGAGTGAGTGTGAGAGAGTGAGAGTGAGTGAGAGTGAGAGAGAGAGAGAGAGAGAGTGAGAGAGTGAGAGTGAGTGAGAGAGTGAGAGTGAGTGAGTGAGTGTGAGAGAGTGAGTGTGAGAGAGTGAGTGAGAGAGAGTGAGTGTGAGAGTGAGAGTGAGAGAGTGAGAGTGAGTGAGAGTGAGAGAGAGAGAGTGAGTGTGAGAGAGTGAGAGTGAGAGAGTGAGTGTGAGAGAGTGAGTGTGAGAGAGTGAGTGAGAGAGAGTGAGTGTGAGAGTGAGAGTGAGAGAGTGAGAGTGAGTGAGAGTGAGAGTGAGAGAGTGAGTGTGAGAGAGTGAGTGTGAGAGAGTGAGAGTGAGAGAGTGAGTGTGAGAGTGAGTGAGAGAGTGCGTGTGTGTGTGTGTGAGAGAGAGAGAGTGTGAGAGAGTGCGTGTGTGTGTGTGTGTGTGTGTGTGTGTGTGTGTGTGTGTGAGAGAGAGAGAGTGTGAGAGAGTGCGTGTGTGTGTGTGAGAGAGAGAGAGAGAGAGAGAGAGTGTGTCAGAGTGCTGCTGTTGATCTGTGGAGCTCAGTGTGTGTGTGTGTGTCCAGCTGAGGAGTGTCTGTCCTTCTCCTTCACTCACTGCCATCGCTCCTGTCAGAGGAACAAGAGGCTGATCCTGATTTACCTTCTGCCCGTCAAGATGCTGCTGGTACGACATCACTGGGATCACACACACACACACACACACACACACACACACACACACACAGTAATAGAAACACGGTTTACTGTATAATGCAGGATCTCACTCAATTTGGCAAATTATCTATGAATCAAAAGCAGGGCTGCAGACTGAATACATTAAATATTTCATACGGACCTAAAATTAAATCTTTGTTAAACTTTCAATAAGTTATGTTAATTTTATTTAAAATTATGTACATTTTATGATTTCAATTAATAAGACAGGATTTCTGATGACTTACATTTAATTTAACCATTAAAATGGAATCCAGGACAGAATGTTCACAGCTTGTGTTTGTGTGTCAGGGTCACATGCCCTCACATCAGCTGTTGAAGAAGTACGACCTCATGCAGTTCGCTGACGTCACCAAGGCTGTGAGGTAACACACACACACACACACACACACACACACACGCACTGCTGTCGATCCTCATCTTCTGCTTGTGTGTGTGTGTGTGTCAGAGAGGGGAACCTCTTGCTGCTCAATGAAGCGCTGGTGAAACACGAGACGTTCTTCATCCGCTGCGGGATCTTCCTCATCCTCGAGAAGCTGAAGATCATCACATACAGGAACCTCTTCAAGAAAGTGTGAGTGAACGACACACACACACACACACACACACTAACCCGGCCCCTAAACCTACCCATCACACAAAACTTTATGCATTTTTACATTTTTAATAAAACACTGTTTAGTGTGTTTTTAAAGCCATTTGAACTATGAGGACTCAGGAAATCACACTCACGTTGTAACACCAGTGTAATACCCATGACATTATACACACTTCTGTCCTCATAAATCACAAAAACATACACACTGATCTGAGTGTGTGTGTGTGTGCAGGTATCATCTACTGAGGACTCATCAGCTTCCTCTGGATGCGTTCCTGGTTTCTCTGAGGATGATGAAGGTGGAGGACGTGGACATCGATGAAGTGCAGTGCATTCTGGCCAACCTCATTTACATGGTGAGACGCATCACTTCCTGCCGACACAGACACGCAGGACCGACATGCATGCCGTCACAAACTCTTTCAGAGGCTCAATCTGTTGGTCTGTCACGCTTTTGAGTTGCAGTTGTGTCGAGTTCAATTAAACCATCAAAATACGAGGACAGCGTTTAGTTTTACTCTTTGGTGTGCGCTTGATCTCGGTTAAGCGGTTCTGAGGTTCCGGCTGTTAATATTGTGTGTGTTCTCTGTCTCAGGGACACATCAAGGGTTATATTTCCCATCAGCACCAGAAGCTGGTCGTCAGCAAGCAGAACCCGTTTCCTCCACTGTCCAGCGTGTCCTGAACACAGCTCCCAGAATGCATCTGTTACATCCCCAGTGTCATTCTCATTCTGTGTTTGACCTTGTTTTTTTATTGATTGTCAAATAAACGTCACACTGTTTTGTACTTTCTTTTTTTATTGTGAAATTGTTAAATATATTTAACCCTGATTTCTCATGCCTAAAGCATCTATACTGGGAAACATTGGTGTAGGATTTACTGTGAGACAAGTTAGTCAAAAACTGCAAGTAACACATAGAAAGACTGAAATAGTATTTTCTTGTAAAACGTACTTGTACTTCTCATGTTCAGTAGTGATTCTCATGACAGTATTTTGTCTAAATCACTAAAAACAAATACTATGATGATGTATAAATACTTCATTTAAAGGTGACGTGATTAATCTCTGCACCATTAAAAACTGAATTGCAAAAACAACTCTCCGTCATTGGTCAGTCAGTCAGATAGCCCCGCCCCTAACAGCACATGTGATTGGTTGAGTCAGAAGTTGAGGGAGGGGTCACTTGCTCAATCTCACTTCTATAGTGTTCTGCAGTGAAATATGAGCCACTCATGAGATTCTCCGCTTCAGGGCTGAAAGTTACTGTGAAAGTAAAGCATTACAACATTGCGTTACTCCCTTAAACAGTTACTAATTGCGTTACTCAATTACTTTTTAAGAACAAACCTTTCAGCTGTTCTGCAGAACTGAAGAATACAGGAGAGGAACGTGCAACACCACCAATAAAAACTAAAAATCTAAAGTCATTTCTGCCTATGGTTTACTGAATCATGGAAGGACAGAAGCAAGTGCATTGGTCAATAAAGTGAGATTAAATTAATTAAAATATTTGTTTAAACATATTTAATTATTGGAGGTTTGCTTAGTTTTCTGATTTTGCATTTCACTGACTTTATGTGCAAGTGAGATTAGTCAATGCTCACATTTAGTTTAGAACTACACTAACCATCATGTTCACACACACACACACACCTCTGCACTTCTCTCAACATGAGGACAGGAGAGCTGTTGCTGTAAATGTAAAAGTGCTGCGTTACTTTACTAGTTACTTGAAAAAAGGGTTACACTTTATTGTTGTTACAGTGTAATTATATATTTAAGTACTGAGTAATATTAAGCAACTACATGTACTTACTATAGGGTTGGGGTAGGATTAGGTTGACGGTTAGTTGCATGTAATTATGCATTATTCACTGTTATTACTATGGTAAGTACATGTAACATATGTAACAAGGACACTGTAATCTGATTACATAACTCAAGTTACTTGTAATGAGTTACACACACAACACTGCTCAGGTGACCGGTGTCGTTTCTTCATCATCTTCATCATCACTGTTCTTTCTCGGATGCGTGCAGCAGCGGCCGGAGCCAGTGCAAGTATCGGGACAGTTTGGTGAACACGAGGCCTTCATCACAGCCTCCGACCGGGAGAGAGAGTCCCGTCAGGAACGCCGTCTTCCCCTCCACCGTCGCCACGGGACTCCCGGGCTTCCCCTCACACTCCCTCCGCTTGCTTCCAGACTCCTGTCTCTCCATGCAGAACATCTTGTTGGTCATCAAGAACGTGAGGTTGAGAGCGTTCCGACAGTCGTCCAATGAGAGGTAAGCGTGTCTGGCTCCGCCCATGACCACGCCCCCTCGGCCAGCCCTCATCAGGATGTTCTCGCTGAAGTCTTTCTCCGGCAGGCAGAGCGGGACGATGGGCATGTGTTCGGGAAGCGGATCCTTCAGCTCCAGGAACGCCAGATCGTTCTCCGGACCGGACGAGTAATGCTTGTGAGGCGTCCAGCTGGAGACAGCCAGCGCTGAGCTCGAGTCCCGGACCGCTGCAAGACAAGAGCACGGGCACTTAAAGGGACAGTACCAATGAAAATTAGCCCATGACTTACTCACTCTCAAAGTGCATCTATCCATTATAAAAGTGCATCTATCCATCATAAAAGTGCATCTATCCATCATAAAAGTGCATCTATCCACCATAAAAGTGCATCTGTCCATCATAAAAGTGCATCTATCCACCATAAAAGTGCATCTATCCATCATAAAAGTGCATCTATCCATCATAAAAGTGCATCTATCCATCATAAAAGTGCATCTATCCATCATAAAAGTGCATCTATCCATCACCGCTGTCTTATAAACACCTCAGGAACTGTGGACACTTGTGGAAGAGTTCAACATGATGAGGAGATGATCAGTGTAACTCCACAACAACTACAGAAATGTCTCCGCTAACATTCAGAAACGTGTAAAAGTGAAGCTCTCCCTGAGTCTCTCCGTAAGGCTGCACTCGCTGCTGGTTACTCCTGACTCTGGATCAGTGAGATTGGCCTGTGTTGTTATTGCCGGAGTCTCTGAAGCTCGTGTAAAAGCTCCGCCCTCTTCTGAACAGAGGCGGAGCTAAAGCTCATTTGCATTTAAAGGGACACACACAAAAACGGCCAAAAAGGGGCAAATTTGACGAGCTATAATAAATGATCTGGTATTTTGAGCTGATATTTCACCCACATTCTGGGGACGCCATAGAATTATATTACATCTGGTGAAAAGGGGCGTAATATGTCACCTTTAAAGTCACAATTGTTATGTTGTTATGTAATAGTGCTCACCGAGAGAGACGTGGCGCTCCGGCAGTGCTGACATACACCCGGCTGACGTCAGCACTGACCTACGACCCAACACCACCCCGTGACAGATGACATCACCGCTGCCGTTCACGAACCGCACCTGCACACATCATCATCATCATCAAGTGCCCTTCTGATTGGCTGAGTGTGGTGTCCTGCGCTAGGGATGCTGGGTAACCGGTCGGTTCTCACCTCCCACGGGCAGCGTCCATCAGGACAGAAGCTGGACGTCTCCGTCGTCCCACACGGGTTCTGAACTGAGAACATGGAGGAGGTCAGTGTCACATGTTCCACACTATGCAAATGAGCCACAGCAACGCAGCCAATGAGAAGACAGCGGTACCGTTTGGCGTGCAGCTCCTGCCGTTGCTGTGAAGCTTGAATCCGCGCGTGCAGAAGCATCGATACGCGCCCGCCGCGGGTCTGCAGAAGTGCTCGCATGCTAGCGGCCCGGCAGACAGACACTGGGACTTATCTGCAGAACAGCATCATGAAGCATCTGACACACTGAATGTGTCCATCATGTTCACTAGCATCACTGTAGGGGCTTTCGCACCGGGTAGTTCTAGGAACGAGCCTCCAGGACGGTTCCCCGAGAGCTAATGGTTCCCACAGGAACGTTCTCCTGGTTGCGTTCACTCCGCCAGTACGAACTCTGAAGTGACGTGAGACACATGCTCGTTGTGGAGACTCTTATTTTGACGGCGCTGAGAACGACTGAGCTCACAGTGCTCACATTCTCCTGTTCATTAGCGTACGATCTGTCTAATACGCTATTATATAGAACTGTTATACATAGAAAGTAGACAGTAATGAAGAGTTATTAGCGTATGCCGTTGATGTCCAGTGTTGCTGAGCAGAAATACATCATCATGTTTCTCTCGGTCCCTCAAAGTGGATTGGGTTTTCTCCTCAGTGTAAAGATTAAGAGCTCCATCTATCTCTGTTTTACATGTTCGTAGAGTTAGTGTGGAGTAAATATATAGGCTATAATCTGTGTGTGTACACAGCCTTTTTAAAAATGGCGTGTGCTGGTGTTTCGCGTGCGTTCGGCCAATCAGAGAACACTAACGTCACTGTAGTTCCATAGCGCTGGTTTAGACCGACTCTGAAGGAGTAAATTAGTTCCTCTAAAGGAGTTCCCAGAGCTGAAATCGTTCCCAGTACCTGGGGTGCGCACGCGCCGGCATCCGGGAACTTACGCTAATAGTTCTAGGAACTATGAAAGGTTCCTCCGGTGTGAAAGCCCCTGTTCACTCGTGTAAATGATCTCGTTCACCGGTTTGGCAGTCGGCGCCGATGTACATGTCGGAGCAGGTGCAGGTGTAGCCGCCGATCCCGTCCTTACACACTCCGCTGTGTTTACACGGACCCGAGCTGCACTGATCCCCGTCTGAGAACGGGAAGAACGGCAGGAAAATATGAAGCTGAAACGGAGATCCGTTAAAGAGAACAATACAATACTGTGTAAAAGTAAAGAATTGAACAATGATAAATAGTGTAAAGACAGGTTAAAGCTACACCGCTCTGGCACAAAAGTCACTGTTTGGTAATGGTTAAGAGTCTATGACTGGATAATTATTGCAGTACCGCGATGACATCACGGTTTTCTCCAGAGCGATTATATGAATGAATTAAATAAATAACTTTTTAAGAACAAAAATGAACCATCACTGAACTTACTTAAGCTGGACTGTGACGCTATTTTCTTCTAGAAACAAACTTTGTTATTTTCATGTTATCTCTGTAAAGCTGCTTGAAACACTATTTTGAAACAATAGAAATTTCCCTATTTAAATACAAACAGTGACTTTTTTTGTTGGACCAGGCAGGCAGTGTATATGCTATTATATAATAGTCATTTAATTTAATTCCAGTTATGATAAAAGTTTCTAAAGGTCACTTACCATAGTATTTGGTCCAGAAGTCATTCTTTGCAGGGAAATAAAAAGAGTTGAAATTGTTTCAGCAGCATTTAGTTAAATTACTTTTAAAAATAAATAAAAACATAATTATAAGTCATAATTTTGACATGAAAGGTGGAATTTATGACAGAAATTTACCATTACGACATTTTAATGTCATTATGAATTGGTAGGCTATGTCATAATGTCGATGTTCATGTCATAATTGCGATTTATGAAAGCATTTCTTTTCTAATGGAATGGAATGGGAGGAGTCAATTAGCCCACGCTAAAGCAAAAGAGCGCGAAATTCAGACATCCCAGAATAATAAGATCTCTCTCACATCAGCGTGACAGCGTCACTCAGAAGAAAACAGCAGCCTGTCCTGTAATCTGCCACTGGTGAGTCCTTCATTATCCGAGCCTGTGATCTATTTTCATATAACATCAACTTTATACGCACTAGTGGTGATGGGAGTAAAGAAAAGGTGTTTTTGTTGTTGTAACGTTAAACATCACGCGTTGAACAGACTTCCATTCGCCTCGTCTGCTGTTTCAGGTTCACGCACCGCGTTTTAAAAATGTTTAACTTTTAAAACACGGGAACTCTTTTACATTTTGATCGCGTTATAAAACCACAAGCTCGTTCTGTGTGAACGGCTCTCCAGTTTAAAGCCCTCGTTACCTGTCCCGGCCAGCAGGAGGTGCTGTCGGTCAGCACGCTTCAATAAACCTGTTATTGATTCAAAGAGCTGATAGTAAGGTGTTCGTTAAATTGATAAAATAAGTTTATATGTGCTGTTCACACTTTACAATGTGACCTTGTAAATGTATAGTTTTAAGAAGTAATTAAATAAAATTGTTATGCATTCGTTTAACCCTAGCAAAATTGTTTTAGAAGCTGTGCTGTATCTAAACACAGAAACTACATGTTGTTTAGATACCTGTGTTCATTACCTACACTATTATTGTATTAGCACCCCAACAAAAAAAGTCAACAAGTAGCCGCATTTCCATTGCAGATTTGCACAAAACTTTTGCGAGATTTTGTAAATGTCGATAAAAAACTATTGTGAAAAGACGACGTTTTCATTAACCGATGTTATATATGCAACTAAAAGGTTATTTTTTCCTCACGCTATAAGTAGTCACGTATATCCCAGCCACAGCACTAGCTATTATTTTTAATGGAAGGAGTCGAGACTGTGGCATTTCTTTGTTGTATAGAATCCAGTATTCCCGCAATTTATTTGTCTTTAATGAGTTTAATGAAGAACTGTCTCGTCTTCTGTCCAAACATACGGCGCCATCTTTAAAGAACGATCGAATGTTACGTAGACCATGTGACCTGTAAATGCGAAAAAACTGTTTCCATTGCAGCTTTGCGAAATATTCCTTTTTCGAAGTGCCTGAAAAACCTAATGCGAGCGTAAAAACTTTTTTGCGATATTTGAGTTTTTCGGAAATGTAGGTGTTTCCACTGGGCGTATTTTCAATTCGGAATTTCAATTTGCGCAATTTGACGGGAAATGTAACCGCGGTTATTGGTGTGTGGTGATCATCAGCTGTCGTACTGTCTTCTGGTCGTCTTCGAAGTATTCCCGGGCCTCTTCTTTACTGCACTTCTCCTCAAGACACTCGCGCTCCAGGTTCCCCGGCAGGATCTCCTCCAGCAGAAACACATTAGCCCGTCTGGAGCGCAGGAGCAGTGAATGCGCCCGCCGGTGAGACCGAAACACTGGAAAACACGCTCAGATGATCATGACCACGAACACCATCCCAGCTAGCAAGGGCTAGCGCGTTTCCCAAAAGCATCGTTGGGCCAACTATGACCGCAATTTCCATTGAACTCTATTGGTAACGACGGAACTTGCGACCATAGTTGGCTTGGGGAAACGCACCCCAGATATGATCTAAGAACAGTTGCTTTTAAATGTTCTGAAACAAGCAACATTTAAAAAACGCTGATGAACGTCCAACTTACATGGTTCAGAAAAAAGTTAAATGAACGATAAATAATGTGCACACATTTTCAGAACGCTATTAAAGACTAGATATCTTTGAACAAACGTTCTGTTAACTTTACTGGAAGAGCGTTTGTTCGTAACTTCAAGAATTTATACTTCGTTCATGGCACGTGTTTTTCTGAAATGTTTTAGTTTGACGTTTGTTTAACGTTTTTAAATGTTACTACTTGTTTCAGATCAGTAAAATTCTCATAACGTTTGCCAAATGATCAAATGGAAAGTTTCCTTAATGTTTCAATAAGCAGGAAAAAAAAAGTTTTTCAAACCTGGACGTTTGATAGCTTTTCAAAACTTATTATGAACATTAGCAAAACGTTCTTAGGTTAGCTGGACTGATGATTGTTCTCTCACCCGTGCGATGATCCTCCGACAACACATGATGAATGATCAGCGTGAAGAACAGCACACGACATATCAGTGATTCCATCACGATCAATCAGCAGAAGCTCCTGACACCTGTCAGTCACGGATCATCAGCCCGTCTGTAGCTCCGCCCACAATCAATACAGCCAATAACTATCCTCAAAGCTCTTCCTCAGGATACGTGAAGCATTAACAGAAAATAATGCGATGTTGACGTTCCAGCTGTGATTAACTCTGTTGAACGAGCATTCGTTGATGTGTTGTCGTGTGGTAAAAGGCAAACTTGCGATGCTTGTTTGTGTGTGCTCAGCGTGTGTGTATCTGGACTCTAGTCTGTCAACATGACCTCTGAACTCTTCATCTGTGTGTTTGTCAACGCATCCAGAGCCTCCACACACACACTGATGTTAATGTACTGTCTTTATCCAATTGATTTGTCTAATGTATTTGAATTGATGAAGTTAGCAACTTTTGGGAAGTAGGTAAAACTCAAAAACATCTCATGCCAAAAGGAAACAAGTTGAGATTTTTTACAAGTGTACGGCTGCCAACTTTAATTCTTGTCAGGAAACTTTATACAATAAGAATATGACAGAAACGGCTCATAAAATCAACTGTGTTGTCTTTATTTAAACTGTAAATCTCATTTGGATAAGAGTCAACATGAAACAGCATTGACAAATCGCTTTACCTCCATTATGTGACAAGATTTAACTTAAAATATTATATTGTATAATTATAGTTATTATTTCATCAATGATGATTTGATTGAATAGGTTCATAAGTGGAGTAAGTTACATTTATATGAAAATGAAAGATTATGAAGACAAAAATGGTTTTCTGTAGAATCCCAGCCAACGGGGAACGTTTTCAGGACCTCCTGGCAAGATTATGAACAACGTTCTTCCAGTAACATGAACATTTGTTCAAAGTTATGTGCTCTTTAATAATCTTCTCAAAACATTCGCATAAAAACAATCGTTCATTAAAAGTTTTTTAAATGTTACTGCTCAAAGAACATTCAAAAGTAACTCCCATAATGTTTCCAAAATCATGAAATGGAATATGTTCCCTTAAAGGAGTAGTTCTTTTTAAAAGGAAAATTAGCCCATGATTTACTTCTCGCCCTCACGCCATCCTAAGTGTAGCATTCTTCTTTCAGACGCATGGCTTCGCTTCAGAAGGCCTTTATTACCCCATAGCTGTCAACACTCCCGTTTTTCCCGGACTCCTCCCGGTTTGTTATTTCTCCCGGGAAACTCCCGTAATTTGCATGGCCCAAACTCCTTTATGAATAATTGGACCAATATGTTTGTCTAATGTTGACCAGTTGTCAGATCTTGTATTAAATGCATTATATTCACACAATCCACACACCATATTCAATTTCAACCCGTTTGTCATCTCAACCTGGCAACCTATAACCCAGTTGCGCAGTCGCGGAAAGCTCAACCCGAAAGCGAGCACCACACACTTTTATGATGGATAGATGCACTTTTATGAGCTTCAATCTGTTCAAATTCACTGCCATTATAAAGCTTGGAAGAGAAATTTTTTAATATAACTGATTGTATTCGTCTGAAAGAAGAGTGTCATACACCTAGGATGGCTTGAGGGAGAGTAAATCATGGGCTGACTTTCATTTTAAAGTAAACTACTCTTTTAACATTTGCATGGCTAAAAAAACAGACATTTTCAGGGACCATTCAGAAATAACGTTTTAATAACTATATAGGAACGTTAGCAAATCATTCTTAGAATATGTTTTTGTTAGCTGGGATAAACCATCAACATGAATTAAGGCCGTGTCGTAGTTGATTCACGTCGACTCGGATAGATCCGCGTCAGACTCTTCGCACAGGCGTCTTCCGAAGCAGCTCTCGCTTTGCTTTGGGCTTCGCCGAAGCTCCCATCTGTGGCATGACTTTAGCCATGGCGTTGTTGATCCACTGGATGTACTTGGAAACCTGCGTGTAGACGCCGTACTTGCCCTTGCGTGCGCATCCCTCGCCCCAGCTCACCACGCCCGTCACGTACCACGTGTTCTTGTAGCGCGTCACATGCGGGCCGCCGCTATCGCCCTGACACGCGTCTTTCTCCTCCTGGTCGTATCCGGCGCAGAACATGCGGCTGGAGATCCGGAACTGGCTGGACTCGATGCACGTAGCGCGGTCGACGTACGGCACCGTTAGCTTCTGGAGGACGGTGGACTGAAAGCCGCCCTCGCGCACGCGACCGAAGCCGCTAACCATGCCGCTCTCCTGGGCCATTAGCACGCGCTCCGCGAAGTCGTGCTCCGGGAGGCATGCGGGGATGATGTAGTCGGTGAACGCGATGGGCTTGCTGAGCTTAATGAGGGCGATGTCGTTGTGGTAGGTATTCGCCATGAAGTTCTTGTGGATCAGAATCTCGTCTACGTCGTGGATGACCTCACGACCCTCTTTGACCAGCGTGTCAAACTCACCTGACAGAAAGACACAAACGCTAATGAAAACGCCCAAGAACTGATCGAATGTAAATGTGTGCCTTGATTGCAATGCAAGTTAGATAAAAGCGTCTGCCAAAATGCAAACATGTAAATAGGTGTACCCTTCGCAGGGAGTTTGATTGACAGGCATTCTGACCAATCTTAATCCGCCGAATCCGCCATTTTTGTCCGACAAGAGAGTAGATTAACGTCGGTGGACTTGAACTTGAGAAACGGTGTGTACTGACATCTTTCCACGGTTGAAACAACATTCCTTCTGATGTTTATTAGAAGGACGAGATGATCGGTTCTAGAGCAGCTTTAACTGAGGCGATCTGTCAGACACATTAAAGCAGTGGCGTAGGTTTGAGTTTGAAATTGGAGGGGACGGAGACATCAATGTATAAATATATTTTAAGTTTTGATCAAAATTATTGCTAGGGATATATCAGTGTCACTGGATATTGGTAGGGACACGTCCCTAGCGTCCCTACTAAATTATACGCCCCTGCATTAAAGTGTCACAAAACTGTATTTAATGTTTAAATTTCTTTAAAAATGACCAAATGTGAAAGTTGAAACTTTGTTTGATATCAAAAGTAAGCTGGTCTGTCCTGTGTCAGTGTGTTGTCGGTGTGCGCGAGAACATGATGTGGCGTGAGAGAGGCGTGGCTTGTCGGACATAGCAACAGTAAATAAAGGAGGCGGGTCTTTGCGAACTGTCAATTGCGTCTCCTAGACAGCAAGTTTGTTAGTTTTTAGTATGAATACTTCCGCTAAAATGGATCAGGGATTTTTATGACATCACTGCGGACTTCAGCTTCTCATCACATCTTCTGTCCAATCAAACGCTAAAGCCCCGCCCCCTCTGCTATAAACACCACCTGGCCGAAGCGAGTGTTGATGCGTCACAGAGCAGTGTGTGTTAGAGTGTGTGTTCGGTCGCTCAAGCGCTCCAGTTTTATTCCGTTTTCCAACTGTCCGCTGGTTAGGAATGAAATGGCTAGAATTATTCACATCTACTGTTGAATCCAGCGATCATCAGCGCTCGGATCCGCTTCCATGGTGCTGTCAGTCTGTGAGCTAAACTAAATGCTATTGGCTGTTTGAAAAGGGGGAGGAGCCATTCAATATGTCCCGCCTTAGCTTCCTGTTTCAGTGGAAATTACATCAACGCATCATCAAACAAAGCTGCGCGTCCCGAGAGACTTCAGTGGGCCTTCACGTAAGAACTGAACTGATCACGTAAGGTTCTTTGGGGAACCAAAAATGGTTGCGAAAACCCCTTTTTCTAAATGGGACCGTTGATATAGAGAAGGAGAAACAACACCAACAAACAATACTGCTGTTAATTTGAAGAATATCATTCAGCTATTTTGTGCATAAAATGTGCATGAAAATATGTTGAAGTTTAAGAAGTTTAAGAGAGATGCTCCTATAAAAGGCCGTACCTAAAACCACCCTGGTGGAGAGCGACTCGTTCATACAGTGAGCGGCCGACAGAATGAAGTGCTGGTTCAAGATGGTGCCGCCACAGAAGCCGATGTTGTTTTCATTAATGAGAAGAGCCTGAGAAAGCGTCCCACGTCAACAATAACAGACCAAAACTGGCATATTTCATGTCTCCAAGAGCTCAAGTACAGTATCATGCGCAGGGTTTGAAATTAACACCCGCCAACTCGCCAAATGCTAGCGTAAATGTGTTAAACACAGCGTATTGTGCGGAGTCTGAACACACTCGTCACTACACAACAAATAACGGCACACTTGTTCATTTGCATCGAAGCAATAGCGGAGATTAAAAAACATAATAATATGCCGATCGTTGGCTTGGGGGACTAGCTGTGATGTAGCTAATCTGTATAATCTGGTTTATTTCTTCTTTTTTTCCCTTTTTGGCTAGTAGAAGTTCTGAAAAGCTGGTAACTTAAAAATGTAGAAGCCAAATTGGCCGGCGAGTGAAAAAGTTAAGGTTTAACTTTATTCTGATGGTCCCTTTTACACATTCTGTTGACTACGAGTAACGCTGCATGTCTAGAACTCTCTTCAGTGTTAGTAGAGCATTGGTAGAGCATTGGTAGAGCATTAGTCGAGCATTGGTAGAGCATTGGTAGAGCATTAGTAGAGCATTGGTAGAGCATTGGTAGAGCATTGGTAGAGCATTAGTAGAGCATTGGTAGAGCATTGGTAGAGCATTGGTAGAGCATTAGTAGAGCATTGGTAGAGCATTAGTAGAGCATTGGTAGAGCATTGGTAGAGCATTGGTAGAGCATTGGTAGAGCATTAGTAGAGCATTGGTAGAGCATTGGTAGAGCATTAGAAGAGCATTGGTAGAGCATTGGTAGAGCATTGGTAGAGCATTGGTAGAGCATTGGTAGAGCATTGGTAGAGCATTGGTAGAGCATTGGTAGAGCATTGGTAGAGCATTAGTAGAGCATTGGTAGAGCATTAGTAGAGCATTGGTAGAGCATTAGTAGAGCATTGGTAGAGCATTGGTAGAGCATTGGTAGAGCATTAGTAGAGCATTGGTAGAGCATTGGTAGAGCATTGGTAGAGCATTGGTAGAGCATTAGTAGAGCATTGGTAGAGCATTGGTAGAGCATTGGTAGAGCATTAGTAGAGCATTGGTAGAGCATTAGTAGAGCATTGGTAGAGCATTGGTAGAGCATTGGTAGAGCATTGGTAGAGCATTGGTAGAGCATTGGTAGAGCATTAGTAGAGCATTGGTAGAGCATTGGTAGAGCATTGGTA